TGTGTCAGTGGCAGGGCCTTGGTTTCCTCATTGTGAAACTGGAGCAGTCATTTTAGGTAGAGCTCTTTCCAGTGTAATGGACAGAGACCCTTGGAGCCAGTCAAAGTTGAAAGAGGTGTTCATCACATACAGAGACACATCGGAGTACCCTGAGGACAGAAGCCTGTGTAGAGCTGGCCTCCCAGGGGACTGGACTTCTCTTGTGGCCTCTCAGGAGTGCTCCCTCTGCCCCCAGGCCTCTCTCCTGCCTGCCTTCCCTGGTGACTACATCTGTGTGATTGTCTAACTTCAGTGTCCCTTCATGTCTCTTAGATTCTTGAAGTAGAGGCCAATTGGCCCAGCCTCTCCTCTAGGCAAGCCCACATTTCAGAGGTCCTAGCAGATGTGATTGAGCCAGCCCTGGCCCAGGAGGCTGCCCAGTGCAGCCCCTGGGCCCAGAGCCGTAGTGAGGCAGTCCTCAGCCCAGAGGGAGGCAGGCATGGACAGTGTTCTGTGGTGACCTTTTCTTCCTCCAAAGGTGATTACTTCTTGATTTCTCTTTCCCTGAGCCTGCCTCCCAACTTCCCAGATTTTAAGCTGAAACCTCCGATTTCATTGAAAATAAACAGAAGCCTTTAGTCCCTCAACCTCACAGTACGGAGCCACCCCCACCCCCGGTGCCATCTCCCTACCCTACTCTTGTTGAGTTCGAAGGGTCCTTTGCCTCTCAAAGGCAGGTCTGTCCATTCGGCTTCCCGTATTGCTCCTACAGAGACCTCTTCTTTTTTCAGTGTCAGGGTTTTCTCCCATTCTATTAGATCCCTCAAACATCATTCTCTGGTTTCTCTTATTATTTAAAGAAAGACAAAGAAAAACCCTTTTGGCCACACACACTCTTCCCACAGAACTTTGAAGCAGTTGGTGGCCCTGGTGCTGTTTGGCGCGCTGGCATGCAGACCCATCATCACAAGCTACCGGAAGACAGGGGGGCTTGCAGCAGAGTGTCGGCCAGCTCTGCACTGAGCACGTGCCACTGACAGTTTTTCCTTGGCCAAATGTTCCCGAGCAAGGAAGCAGTGTGTTCGCTTATGTTTTGGCACAAGTGCCTCTGTCTTCTGACAGTTGACCTTCTTGACTGTCTTGGTCCCCACAATGGCACGTTCTCTTTTTCCTCACTCCTGTTCTCTGAGTACCCCCTTGCTCTTCCCCTTCCTGCCCGCTCTTCCACTTCCTACCCTGTAGCTGTCAGGGTGCCTTGGGGCTCAGTCCTGGGCCCTTTCTCTGCCTGCCTTGGACATGATCTCTCTTAATCCAATAGTTGATGACTTCCAAATACAGATCCTCAGCCCAGACCCAGCTCCGGACTCATTTATCCTATTGTCTCCTTGATATTATTTCCACGACGATCTCTAAGAAGCATCCTCACACGCAGAGAGGTACCCATAGAGCACTCAGTGTGCTTCTTGAGCCCACTCTTCCCCAGTGCCCACTCCTCCCCATGCCCCTTCTTGCTTCTCAGGAGACAGAATCACCACCCAGGCCACCCATGCGGTGGTTCAGGCTCCAGACCTTGGATTTATTCTTGTGTCCCCCTTTCCCTTATTTGCCATGTCCAGTCAGTCACTGGGGCCTGTCCCTTATACCTTCAGAACATAACTCCATCCTCCTCTTAGTCACCGCTGACCCACCCCGTGTCCAAGCCACCCCCAGCCCCCCAGCCCCTAGACAGCTCCAGAGCCTCCCTTTGCGTTCCCTCACGATCCACTCCCCACTGACCAGCCAGAGGGAGCTTTTTAGCACCTGTGCCTCCCTGCTGGAAAGCCCTTCAGCGCCTGCTGCTGTTCTTGGAATAATCTTGCCATGACCTGCAATACCTCTGCTTCTCCCTCCTCTTCTCTCCCCTCCCTGGAGTCCCCTCCTGCTCTCGCCACCTCGCCACCTCGTTCCTCTCACTCCTCGGTAAGCCATGCCCTACCTGGCTCAGGCCACTCTGCCCTCTGCCTGGTGCTCTTCCCAGCTTTTTTCCTGGCTGGTCCCTTTTCACCAAAGGGTCCCCTCCCCAGTTGTTATCTCAGAGATGCTTTCCCTTGCTGCCCCAGGTCACAGGTGAGTGAGAGCAGAGACGCTGCTTCTCCTGAAGCCTGATGAAGTACCCAGGATTCAGATGGGCATGTTTGCCTTTTAAATCCTGACCAGACCGCCCCGGCCCCAGTAGCTTGAGGCTTTTTTCCATGCCTCCAGGAACTTCTGAATGCATCTTACAAATGTTGAGGACTGGTCATCGTGGAGGCTGGGGCCTTTGAATGTCAGATGCACTTATGGGGGCGGATGCAGACAGCAGCTTGAAGTGCAGGAGGGAAGTCAGGCCCAGCACTGCTAGCCAGACAGCCAGGGCTCGGCTAGCCCCAGGCCCGGGGTGCCACCTGCCAGTCCTGTGAGGAATTTGGGAGAGATAGCAGCGGGCTCTGACAAGCCATTAGCTTCACAAGGAAATGGCCATGAATCAGAGTGCTGCTGATGGCTCGTTTCATTTTAAACAATTTTTTTGAGGCCGTATCAGAGGGAATGGGCTGCTGTTTGCAGCTTTGAACAGGAATGCTGTCCATTGCTGTTAGAAGCCATGGGATATTTACAAACTGGGTGACTGTTGGCAAGACGTTTTTCCTCTTTGCTCCTTAGTTTCCTCCCTTCCGTGGTGGGGATAATAAATGCTGTCTGTCTGACTCACCGGGCCGTTGGGGGGCATTCCAGGTGTTGGTATGTCAGCTAGCATGAATTCAGCGCCCGCTCTGTGCCGAGCCCTGAGTTATACAGCTTCCTATTCCATCCTCACCATGGTCCTGCAAAGGTGGGCACCACTCAAGGCTGCAGTCTGGCTTAGAGGAGCTCAGTGCACCCGTCCCTGGGCCGCCCACGGGTGTATGGGTGGAGATGTCTCAGCCCACCTGTACTGCGTCCCTGTGGGTGGGCAGAGCTCTGCGTACAGATGCATTTGCTTTCCAGATTCTCACAGTCATCCTTTAAAACAAGCTGTTCTCATTGTTCAGATGATGGCATGGAGGCCTAGTGGAGTTAAGTGACTTGCTCAAAGCCATTTAGTCTGTAAGTGATACGTCCTGGATTTGAAGGCAAGTCTGTCTGGAAGTCCTTTGGAAGACCTGAAAAGGAGAATTGGTAAAGCCAGGGGTTCCTATACCTTTCAGGCCTTAAGAAAGTAATAATAGGTTTTTTGTTTTTATTTTTGTTTTTTTCCCTCTCTCTGTTCCTAATTTCATGAAGGAAATTATATATTTGTCCAAATGGCACTTCCCTTAATATTTGCTGAACCTTAATGTTTGCTCTTGATTGGCATTATGCCATCCTAGCACAATAATATTTGTCATCTCATACCTTAGAAAACTCTGCCTGATTTTGAATGATACAAAAAAGGCTTTGGGATCTAAATGGAATGAGAGGAATGGTAAGAGATTAAGGATCCCTCATAAAAAAAAAAAACAGGATGGTATCAATAAGACCTTTCCCAACTCTGAGTCCACATTCTGCCACCTCGGTCACTTAGATGTAGATGTCATCTTCCTCCTCAAGATGATGACAGGCCACCCACTACCCTGGGACAAAGCAGGGCAGACAGTATAGAGCATAGGCCCCTCTGCTAGAGGAACATTGGTGTACAGCGCTCTTCTGCTTCCAAGAACCCCTCACCCCGTGCTACTCGCCCAGGATATTGTAATGGACATCTGCCTTTGATATATCCCTGCCTGATTCCCAACCCCGCTCCTTCACTGTGTTTGGAAAGTACTCTTCCCGCTGTACAAATTGGAAGGCTAGGCTGTGGGCATATGGACCTGGGCTTGTCTAGTCACACATGCGTGAGAGCTGGTGATGCAGAAAGCTTGGGGGTGGGGAGTTCATCTGGAGACCGTGCCAGCAGCCACATCTAGTTTTTGGGGGTGGTCGTGGTGGCTCGGCACCTCCTGCTCCAGTGCCCATGTCCAGTGCTGACAGGTGGTGATGCAGGCTCTGGCATCCTCACACTGGGAGTGTGAGTTGGGATCCACTTATAGCAGCACAGCATAATGTCCTGCCCATTTTCTGAGCCTGGTTCTTTGGCTTTTCTGGGAATCAATGAGACGCCAAAGGCCTTTAAGTAAACTCCTTAATTTAAATCAGCCAAAATCTTTTTCATCTGCTTAAAGCTAAGAAGCTGACTTTTATAGAGATGTTCCTCTGTAGTTAGCCAAACATTTGTATTCATTCCTCAGGCCCCTGAAAGTTCTACTTCACCTGTTAGGACCCTCCACGGGCCACAGAATTCACAGGAGAGTCCCAGGTTTAGTGGGTGGCAGGACTGTGGGCTCAGCCATCTCCCTTCATTATTATTGTGACCCAGGTTTCCATCATGCCTCCCAGGCTGTGACCTCTGTGGGGACACAACTGAGTCCTTCATCTCTATCCTCAGCTCCTTGAGCAATGCTTGGCACACAGTAGGTGCTCGGGAAGGTTTGAATTAATGGGCCAAGGAACCAACAAAGAGATGAGAGAAGTTGGTGCCTGTGGGCTCTCTGCAGCCTTAATGAGGCTGGCCTGGCTTGGGCAGGAAGGGGACCACGTGCCTGGAGACTGCAGACTGCCTGCAGTTCCATGCTGGAGATGGGCTGGGGAGATCATGGAACTTAGAGCAGGAGAGCAAGTAGCTAGAGCCATGAAAGGGACAGCCACTCCTCTGAGTGGAGGCAGCGTAGTTGGTACTTCCCAATCCTTTCACCTCATGGCACATACAGAACACAGTATTATTTGTCTGGTACCCAGGGGTTTGTCCAGCTGGTGCTGGAGCAAAGGCCCCTCTCACAGCACACCGGTGACCCAGTGCCCACTGCTTAGAGCGCTGATCCCAAGGGAACTTAGAGACCAGTGTGGCCTCTTAGCCCTTTGTCATGTAAGTTGCAGGTGTTTTTCCTAGTTGTGTATTTGCCTTTATGATTTATTTTTTCTTCCACTTGGTTTATTCTTGACCATCACAGTTCTTTCTACAGGAGGTTCCAGCCTTGACAGGAAGAGTGTGGCCCTTCCTGGAATCCCTCTGGACACACCCTCCTAGCTTCCTCTAGGAAAGATGCGGCAGCTCAAAGGGAAGCCCAAGAAGGAAACCTCCAAGGACAAGAAGGAGCGGAAGCAAGCCATGCAGGAGGCCCGGCAGCAGATCACCACAGTAGTGCTGCCCACGCTGGCCGTGGTCGTGCTCTTGATCGTGGTGTTTGTGTACGTGGCCACGCGCCCCACCATCACTGAGTGAGCCCCGCAGCCAGCCGCGGACCCCATCGGCAGGGAGAGGAGGCGCGGGAGGGGGACGCAAACAAAAAATGGCTTTCATATTCAGAGATGTTCATGTTGCTGAGCTGTAAGCTGGAGCACCCTGTCTTCTCTGGTCTTTGACTTGATTAAAGTATCTCCGCTTTTCTTGGGAGGGAATAGGGGATGTTTTATCAGTGAATGTGCCATACACCTTATGGTCCACTTCATGTGCCTTTCAGACTTCAAAGCGCGCGCGCGCCTGTGTTTCTTTTTCTCTCCTAAAAATCAATAAGTAGCTCCACCTGAAGAGGTGCGGAACCTCCGGGTTGGGAAGCAGCTGGAATCCGCACTCACCTCATTCGCATTGTTTGGATCATGCCTCTTTCCAACACGTGTCACACTCTCCAAAGGGACTGTATTTCTTCTCTGTGCTTAATGTGATTTGAAATATGTTGAATCAAAGTGAAATATTTATTTTTTGAATAAAGGAGATAATAGCCTTAAACGGGATGCTTATCATGTTTTGCCAGTTGCTGTCTGTGAGTCTCCTCCTGCCCAGGGGTCTGCCCCTCTTCCCCCCCCTTCCCTTTCTCCTGTGGCTCTCTCCACCTTCCCCAGCACTCCCTCTGCTCATCATTTCTGGGTAAAATTATGCTTTTTGACTGACAATTTTAAGATGGAGAGGGACAGAAAGGGTGCATTAATTGGCTTGCTTTAGAAAGTGAGAGTTCTAATTAGACTGTGACCACAGATGCTTTTTACCCCAGTTAGGTTTTCCTACTTTAACTTGGTATGTTTGTGCAAACAGCAATGCAGAGTGGTCCTGGAAGTAAAGGTCAAGCTTGGTTTTGTTCTTAGCTGAAAGGATGCAAATTGTTGGCATTCCAGCTGAGTTTTCAATGCAAATTGGCTGGAATGGTTGCCTCATTTTATTCTGACAGCACTGCTCATGCGGTCCGGTTCCTGATGGAGCAGGCTCTCTTTGGAAGTCAGATTCATGGTGACTGTTCTGAGGATTCCTGTTCTCCTGTCATTGCTGATTATGGAGATTTGTGGGGAGAGAAGCGCTTTTCCTAATCCCCGTGGCTGTGTGACTCGCTCATTGATGGCAGAGGCTGTTAGTGGAGATTTGGGGCCTCTTGGAGTGAGTCTCTCAGGAAGATGAAGCAGCTATTGAAAGGAAGGACTTCCCTGGCTGATGCCTGGAGAGCCTGGACTCGGCAGGCCGACAGAGCTCTGCGGCCCTACTCTGTCAGCTGGTCTCAGAGAGACCCGGTGCCTCCTCATACTTACTTAAGGGCCAATGGCCCTGGAAAGAGATTCGCTAAAATACTTAACAAATTCAGAGGCTGCTAGCATCATGTTCCTCTGAGGTTTCTGTTTTCCTCCCCTTTATTTGGTTCTGTTACAAACTTCAATGCTTGCTGGCCTGAGAAAGACTGCAGGCCACTGTCCCAAGGATTTTCTCATTCAGGGGCTGGAGGGAGGGGGAAGGCATCTGCAGCCATCCCTGTTCCTCACAGTGGCCGCTGTGCGACTGGCGAGTCCCCTTCCAAGGGGGCAGATGCTGTGAGGATGGAGCAAGGACAGCCCATTCTCTCCAGCAGAAAGACCACAGTCTGCATGTCTTGCAATTACCTGATGGGCATTTAGTTCTCAGTCTGCCACTCAGAATTGTGGATTACTTAATCCCACTGAACCTCAGTTTCTCTATCCGTAAAGAACTGGTAAAGTCACTTTTAGGAAGGTGAACTCTCTAGTAGAAAATGTGGCTTTTAGAACAAACCTGGGTTTTGATGCAGATTTTGCTGCTGAAATTCCTCTGAGTCCACTTAGAGGTTATCTTGCCTCATAGGATTGTGGGGAGGGTTAAGTTGAAATAGTGTATTTGTAAAGCCAAGTCTAGTGCCTGGGGCTTAGTTACTCATAGTTACTGTGTAAACATTAGTAGCTTGATATTTTACATGTATTTATTTCTCACACAGCCTCATGAGGTAGGTACGATTATTACTCAATCTTACACATGAGGAAGCTGAGGCAGGCCAGGGAACCTGTCCATGTCACACAGCTAGTGAGTGGAGGAGCTCTGGTTTGTTTATTCTTAAGCTTGTGTTACAGTGAGTTTTAGACATATGCAAAACTAGATGCAGCATGCCTCAGGTCCCCGTTGACCATTCTTCAGCAAACTCCACTACCTGGCCGCTCCTGCCCGTCCATCTGCTCTGCCCCCACATCCAGACACCCTCATATGCACACATGCCTTAGACTGTTTGGGGCAAAACAGGAGATGGATTTTAAACCCAGGCAGCCTGGCTCCAGAGTCTATGCTCTTCTTCATCATTAAAATCTGTTGCCTTTTAGTAAATTATTTTTCTACTCCCCTGGTCTAAAGAAACCTTGCCTGCCCAGGGTATTTGAACAGCCCTCACCTGGTCATGGTGAACAGCCTTTGATGCCATCTTTAGACAAATGGGCTGTGAGTTGGGCCTGCCTTGTGGGCACTAACTCCACCCAGCCTCTGGTCTGTTGCTCAGCGAAAGAGGAGCTTCACCTGGTAGCAATAAGAGAAATAATCTTTTCCATGGGCTCCTTACTTAAAACATTTCAGTGTTCTTGCTTAGGAAATTTTGTGTATGATGTGAAAAGAATATAATCTTAGGGAAACAGACATATCTGAATTCTACCTCTGCCATTTTCTAGCTGAATGACCTTACTCAGGGCCCATGACCTGCGCCGCACTTGCCCCACATCTGTGAAGTAAGGTTTAATTTCTAGGGGATGTTGGGAGGATATATTGAAATATGAAAATGGCATACTTTGTGCCTAGTACATTATGGAGGCCCCATAAATGGCCATTCCCTTTTCATCAGTGTGTTCAAAAACTCAGAATATAAATGAAGGCCTGCTCCCCAAGGCTCTACTGGCCAAACAGGCATGGCACACACGGTGTGATAGATCCTTTAGGTCCTTGTGGCTCTATCTTCACCACTGTTTTCCTCTTTATTGTCCATCAGGAGGCCTAGTTGGTTTGAACTGGGCCTTCAGAAGGCAGCTACTAGACAGGCTTGGTGAAGGCAGGCTGAAAATGTACCTTTAAAAGATAAACATTTCGATGTGAGTCACCTGGCAGGGACCAGGTGCCAGTTTACTGTGGACTTGCTTGGTGGAAGTTTAACAGTTCTCAGGGGAAATAGTACTCTCGTATGGGTGTACTTGGTAATGATTTGAGATGCCAGCTTCCAACTTATTTCCAGCTATTCAATGGCTTCAAGCCAATACTGAATTATTTATTAGAAGTTTCACAGAAAGTCATGCTGGGGTTTCGGCAGTAGAATCTAGCACTCTTGGCTTTCAGAGTCCTCATTACCAAGCCTAATGTTTCTTGAAGAGCATATTCTGAAAGAAAATTTGAGTTGGAAACAAGAATAGAAACCATTGTCATTGGTTTAAAAGGTGTCATTTGATGTGTTTTTTTTTTTAAAGTCCCGATACTAAGATGTGTTTGCATATACATTTTCTGGCTAACGAAAATCTTGGTGGTTATGGAGGGTATGAGACTGAGAGAAGAAGGATTTGGACCCAGTCTGCTACTCCGTGTGACATTGGCCAGGCACCTCATATAGGTATGTTGGACCATACAATCTCATGAGAGCTTTTATATCCCAGAGCTTCTGTGAACATAGAGTTAACAAAATCCCTGTGTAAATGAATGGATTTACTTGGAGCTCAGAAAACCAATGGCACCTGGTGTAAGAGGTCTGAGGATAGAAGCTACAAGGTAGCCTGTGTATCTCCTCGTGATCTTCCCAGATCTCTATAAATGCAGCAGTTGCTACCAACTGGTCGTGAGTCTAAACTTGTAAAGGTTAAGTTCAGTTTGATTGGTCCTGAGGCCACCATCTATTAAGTTTTCCTGGTCAGTTCAAGGACAGAGCAAGTATGCACCCATCCATCCCTCATGTGTCCTTCATGAGGTAAGATAGGGAACCTGCAGCCAGGCTCGTCTGTGAACTGGAGATGGTTAAGACACTGCTGTAGGTTGCTAGGAAAATTCAAGAGATGATTGTCCTTCCCTCTTCCCCAAAAGGGTCTCACACCGTTCATTACTTTTCAGAGGTAGAAAAATAAGGAAATCTTTCGAAATTATGGCTCTGAGAATTTTTTTTTTTTTTTTTTGGAAGTCTACCATCACATTCCCTATATCTGTGCCTTGAATATATCCCATACAGAATATTTTTCAAAGATGTCCACCTTTGAATGTGTTTGAAACTGTCTAATTCTGTGTTCTGTACAATATTTCCCAGACTTTTGCTTAAACATTAGAAATGAGATACAGAATTTTGGGATCAGGAAGATGAATGAATAGCTTCCTCTAAATCTTTTGAGAGTATCTGTATTAGAATTGCAGAAGGGTTTGTACATCCTCTGGATCCATGTCCCCTTTCCTCCGTGCTTCAAATAGCAGGCAGAGCAACTGTGCACGTATGGTTTGCCTCTACCTGGCAAAACTCTTACTGTCAGGCCTAACTTTTTCTTACAAATCTTAATGCACTTCAGTAGGCAGTCCTCTTCTGAGTATTTTCTCATTACAAGGCAAATGTTCCTGACTTCAGTGTATTTCAGTCTTGTCATGTGTATTATCTCCCTGCCTGCCAGTTCTTTGGAAAGGAGCCAGTTTTTTCAAAAAGCTTTTATTCCCTTGAACTGTTAACAACTTAAGGAATGTGGAACTGAGAGAGGATTTGGATGCTCAGTAATGTCATGGTTAAGGGTCTTTCTCCTTCCCTTGTGTTCACTTTCCCATTGTTCATAAAAGTTGTCTGCTTTTGAACTTTCCCACAAGGAAACTTTTATCCAACCTTTGAATATTCCCTTCCAACTGAAATAGGAACAACTGGTCACACGGGGATCACCCAGCTTTTTCAGAAACCATGTTAAGTCATTTGGGATCAGGCTTAACCTCAAAGGCACTGACAAGTTTGGGTTGGAAAAAATTAAGAAAGCCCATTATGAACTCCTTTTTCAGACTCCTCCACCTTGAAATTTCTCTGTCTCCACCTGATTCTGTCAAAGGTCTGCCCATCTGTTGCATCCACCCCAATTCTCCAGAGACATTGAAAGTTTCCTATCTCACGCAGTCCTCCCAGATTAGATTTTAAAAGACATATTTAAAGCAAAAATGTACAAAACGTTGAAGAAAAAAAGGAAAAAGGAAGGCAAATATGAACAAAAGCTATGGCAACAGTTTTAACATCAGCAAAAGAAATATAAGGTGAACATGCCATGAGGGACAAAGGATGACATATACTAGTACTCTAATAAAAGATTATAAATGTGTACATATAGCTTCAAAATATATAAAGCAAGCGACTATTGACAGGACCATGAGAAGAAATACATCACAATTTTAGTTGTTTTTAAGGTAGCACTTTTAGAATTTGATAGATCAAGCAGATGAAAGGAGCACATATATAGAAGATTTGAATAATAACATTAATAAGCTTGATATG